CCTCTCCCTCCCCCACGTCACCGGCCCTCCCACCCCATACAACGGATCCCTCTCCAACCACGCCACGCCCTTCACCTTCTCCGCCATCCCCTCCTCCCCCTCCTTCCCATAACACATATCCCACCCACACCCCTCGGGATAACTCCCCACCATCATAAACCCACCCTCCTTATCCTCCACCAACCTATGCCCCACCCCCGCCGGCACAACCACCGCGTCCCCAGCTTTCACCTCTGTTTCCACCTTGCCGGGGTTGGATTCGCCGCCGAAGAGGAGGAGAGCGCGGCCGGAGTAGATGCAGAGGATCTCGTGGGTGGTGCTGTGGTAGTGCGTTGTTGTGTACATTGTGTAGCGCCACTGGGGAGTGAGTTTGTTGGCAAGGAGGTGGGATTCGAGGGTTGAGGCTGGGGTGGAGGAAGGGAAGGCGGAGTGGTAGATGTAGAGGGGGTGGTTGTGGGGGGTTGTGTTGGGGATGAGGGAGTGGGTGGGGATGTAGTGGGTTGACAGGCGGAGGGACGTGAGGGGGGTTAGGTTTAGATATGGCATTTTGGGGTGTTGTTTTCTAGATGAATTGTTGGATTTTTTGGTTCAGTGGTTTGACGTAGGATGCTTTGGCAAGGAGAAAGACTGCTATCCCAACTTTTGATATAAGATGGCATCTGATGATCCTACCAATACGTCATCGATCAAAAAGCCGGGACGAATTTGCGAGGACCGTCTATTGTTCGACCATAGTGGATTCGGCGTTTTATTCTGAGCATGTACTTGTTTCTCCGTAGTGGAAGTCTTAAGTTCGTAGCTGCAGATCCTAGAGTGACCATCACTATCATTTGCCACCAGTAGTGTAGAGTTCACCGTGGACGAGCGCAAATGTAATCGCATAGGGAGCCAACTTAAAAGGCTTTTATGGATAGCTCCTAATGAGAAATGTAATATTACAAAATCTCCAATGGGACCAAATCACACGAAAACACCTAGGTAGTGAGGGGCCAACCTAAAAGGTCATTTTAGGATCCCTCCTAATAAGAAATACAATGTTGCGAGATGTCTACTTAGTCCAAATCATGCGAACATGGTACGCAGCCAACCCAGAGGCCTTTTGGGATCCCTCTTAAAGAGTACCACATTGCGAGATCTCCGTTCAATCCAAACCACACACGAAAATGATGATAAGCGGTACTGCTGCAGCATGAGATGAATCGTGATATCCGCATAACATCGTCACTATTATGACCCGACAGCACAATACGCTGATCCAATATGAATAAAGAATAGTGAGCGAAAGAATCGTAATGCTGGCATGCTTCGCTGTCAAAGGTTCTGCTGCCTTCGCGTTGAGCACTGTGGAGGCTAGTGCAAGGCTGCGTGAACGGGACCCTTGTAAAACGCCAAGACCCAAGCTCGGTGCTGCCTGAACTGTATGAACCGACAACGACGTGACTCTAAACGTCGCCGCCTTGCTCGTCCGGCACCTTCACTTTTCTCTTCTTCCTCCCCTCCGTGTGTCGCCTAACTTGACGGCGCATACCAAAACCCGCGGAAATCGACCGCTCGGTACATCTTAAGCCCTCCCCGCCCGCTACCATTACTCCCCACCACTTCACCGCGCCCTCCACCGAACCCGCCTTTATCACCATCCCCCCTTGTGAAAGGACACCAAACAAGCGCGCTCTCCGGTGTTGCTTGACAATCCGCTTGTCCGTGACACGGCGGTTCCGACAATAAAGTTCCTCACGCGCAAGAAGTCGCCTCAGAAAAGTGCCCAAGAGCACGCGACGACACAACCCACCATGTCTTCCAGTATGCCACCCGTCCCGGCCAAGGACGATGTCAACGCCACGTAAGTTATTCTCTCTCACTTCCAGTATCTCCTTCCATCTAGCGCTGCAACTTGCGGAGTCCTGGACAAGTTGCAGTGACGTCTCGAATGACGGGTCTGGTGTCTGCCGCGTTGGGCTTCTGAGGAAGCTGCGCCGCTATGGTGAGCGCAGGCGGAGACAGCCATTACAGGAAAAGCTATACTAAAGCAACCCCGACCCGAAGATGACGTATAGCTCAACCAGATGCTAACAACTCACAGATGGAAGTACCTCGAAGCTGGTGTCGACAAGATCATGACGAACCTGCGCGAAGGTGTCGACATGAAGACGTACATGGGTCTCTACACCGCCATCCACAATTTCTGTACCGCCCAAAAAGCCGTCGCCGGCTCGTCGTTCCACGCCGCCAACAACCGCGGAGGTGCCCATCTCCTCGGAGAGGACCTCTACCAGCACCTGATCGAATACCTGAAGGCGCATCTCTCCGAAGTCCAGGCGGCTTCGCGGCAACATGTCGACGAGGCGCTGCTCCACTTCTACATCAAGGAGTGGAACCGCTACACGACAGCTGGCCAGTACAACAACCATCTCTTCCGGTACTTGAACCGTCATTGGGTCAAGCGTGAGATGGACGAGGGAAAGAAGCACATCTACGACATCTACACACTGCACCTGGTGCGCTGGAAGGAGGACATGTTCACGGGCAGCCAGGAGAGCGTCATGCGCTCGGTCCTGAAGCTGGTGGAGAAGCAGCGAAATGGCGAGACTATAGAGCAGTCGCAGATCAAGTCGGTCGTCGACTCTTTCGTATCGCTGGGTCTGGACGAGGCCGACAGCTCCAAGTCCACCCTGGATGTCTACAAGGAATACTTCGAGAAGCCTTTCCTAGAGGCCACCGCGCAATACTACGACAACGAGTCCAAGCAGTTTCTCGCAGAAAACAGCGTGGTTGAATACATGAAGAAGGCAGAGATCCGTCTGGAAGAGGAGAAGGAGCGCGTCCCACTCTACCTGCTCAACGAGATTATGTCACCTCTGATGCGGACATGCGAACAGTCGCTCATCACAAGCCATTCGCAGGCACTTCGCGAGGAGTTCCAGATCCTTCTCGACCACGACAAGGAGGAGGACCTAGGCCGCATGTACAAGCTGCTTGCCCGCATTCCTGAGGGTCTTGACCCTCTGCGTCTTCGGTTCGAGAACCACGTCCGCAAGGCGGGTTTGGCTGCAGTTGACAAGATCGCGCAAGATGGAGACAGCCTGGAGCCCAAGGTGTACGTCGAGGCCCTTCTTGAGGTCCACACCCAGTACCAGGCGCTCGTCAACAAGGCGTTCAACGGAGAGTCAGAGTTCGTTCGCTCGTTAGACAATGCCTGCCGCGAGTTCGTCAACAGAAACAAGATCTGTAAATCTGGCTCCAACAAGTCGCCTGAGCTCCTCGCAAAGTACACCGATACTTTGCTGAAGCGCTCCAACGCCAAGATGAGCGAAGAGGATGACATGGAGAAGCTCCTGACACAGATCATGACTGTCTTCAAGTACATCGAAGACAAGGACGTGTTCCAGAAGTTCTACTCGCGTATGCTGGCCAAGCGTCTAGTCCAGACTACTTCTGCATCAGACGACGCCGAGACCAGCATGATCTCGAAGCTGAAGGAGGCCTGTGGTTTCGAATACACCAACAAGCTACAACGCATGTTCCAGGATATGCAGATTTCCAAGGATCTCAACACCGCGTTCAAGGAGTGGCAGTCAAACAACTTGGACGAGTCAGACATGAAGACCAACGTCGATGCCTCGTACCACATTCTCGGTACCGGTTTCTGGCCTCTGAACCCACCCACCACACCGTTTACCCCACCGCAACTTATCGTCCAGACCTACGACCGCTTCTCTCGCTTCTACAACCACAAGCACCAAGGTCGTAAGCTTACCTGGTTATGGCAGCTGTGCAAGGGCGAGATCAAGGCCAACTACTGCAAGGTTGCGAACCTGAAGACTTCACCAACCTTCCAGGTCTCGACCTACCAGATGGCCATCATGTTGCTGTTTAACGACAGTGACACCGTCACCTACGACGACATTGCTGAGTCCACCAAGCTGAACAAGGAGACTCTCGACCCTAGCTTGGGTGTCTTCATCAAGGCCAAGGTTCTGCTCGCCCAACCCGAGGGCGCAAAGCCTGAGTCTGGTACTTCCTACAAGCTCAACACCGGCTTCAAGACCAAGAAGGTGAAGATGAACTTGAACATCGGTATCAAGTCTGAGCAAAAGGCGGAGGCGGAGGATACGCACAAGACGATTGAGGAGGACCGAAAGCTACTCATTCAGGTATGTATTCCCCACTTCTATCTCCCTCACATTACAGCATGCTAACATGTCAACAGTCCGCTATCGTGCGTATCATGAAGTCCCGCAAGAAGATGAAGCACCAGCAGCTCGTCTCAGAGACCATCCAGCAGATCAAGACCCGATTCATGCCCCGCGTCCCCGACATCAAGAAGTGCATAGACATCCTGCTCGAGAAGGAATACCTGGAGCGTCTGGAGGCTGACGAGCTCGGCTACCTGGCCTAGCCGGTTAGTCCCGATGAGATAGGTAGCTTCCGGTGGATATCTTGAGTAATGAGTAATGGGGTTTTCATCATCATGGGTTGGGTTTTCGTCTTACACATCATCGCCCCCCACATTTCTTCGATGCGTATCATTTGGGCGTTTTCCTGGCATGGCCAGCTGGAGTTAGGGAAACTACTGTGTGGGAAAGGCGAAAGGGACTTTTGGGAAAGGAGATGTTACGCGCGGATCAGGTGCGTTAGGTATCCTCTTTCTTGAATGATAGATAGGGTATAAAATCCAGAGATGGAATTGAACTAGTAATAGTCATGGTCTGTCTCCAACTATGCCGTCTCTGCTTCGTGGTGATGTGATGTGCTATTGCGCTGCCGGGATGTGTGTCGCGGGCGCGTTTTGTGGGCGGATGCCAGACTAGCCTAGTGCGAGGCCTCCGAAATCCAAAGTCGTGCCTCCGACCGTGCTGCCTGCTCCCACCCATCTACACGTTCACAACGCGACAAGCTCATTACAATAATGGCCCAAGAAAGAGAAGGAGACCAACTGGGGTATCATTTACATGTACACTCATCCGCTGCCTTTGAGCCGCACGACATCCAGACTCCCTCGCTCAAGTTCCGAATGTGTTGAGGTAAGTGTTAAGGCGAGCGGCGTTGCGAGCGGCGTTGAGGCGAGCCTGCGTTTCGTCGTCGTCATCGAAAGTGTTGAGGTAAGTGTTAAGGCGAGCGGCGTTGCGAGCGGCATTGCGAGCGGCATTGCGAGCGGCGTTGCGAGCGGCGTTGAGGCGAGCCTGCGTTTCGTCGTCGTCATCGAAATGATCACCTCCCGGCGGGGGACCACCGTTTCCCGGAGGATTGTTATTCAGGTCGTGGTTCCTCCCGATGCGGTTCCAGTCGGTTTGGCCGTCTTCTCGTCCACCATTGACATGCGCGTGTGTCGCGAAACTGGACAACACGTCAGCGACCATCAAGTAACGCCATTCCGAAGAACATGATCTTACAAGCGACTGTCTGGTCTGTTATGTGGACCACTCGCAATATATCCATAAAAATGCTTAGGGCTAGGCGGAGGCAGAGGCGCAGGCGGATATCCCATATTAGGTGGAGTTGGGGGTGGAAGCGGAGGCCTATGATTTTGAGGGTAATGCACGTAAGTTGGCTCATATCCTGAAGGTGGCCATGTTGGAGTTGGCCTGTAGTCTGGAGGGGGGCGCGTTGGAGTCGGCTGGTGACGCGGTGGATCTGGCATCACTCTGGGCCCGTAGTCTGGAGAAGAAGGATCAGGCGAAGGTACATATTGAGCGGTCCGGGATCTTGTTTCCCAAGGCGCTGACGATATGTAGGGTGAGGCGTGATCTATGTACGCAGATCGGTGGGAAGGTATGGGAACTGGTGGTTTTGGATAACTACAAGCATATCAGCGTTATGATAGCACGGATGGCATGGCGACTGACCCCGGCTGCGGTATGACTTGGCCATCAGAAAATATGTACTGGTGTTTCTGCTCGTCGAATCGCCAATACTTTTGTCGCGGTGGGTCGTAATGCCAATCCATGTTAGGCTCCATAACAGACAGCTTTCGAATTGACGCAGAAGTTTGGCGGGGCGAGCCCTGCCTAACCTACGCTTTGCGACCGAATGCCTGAGGCTCCCCTGTCGCTTGCAGGTCCTTCAGCATGTAACCTCAGCTCGCTAATTGGTTAACCAATATCAGCCACCAGCCTGGCCACGTCACAGGCTTTCGGGCCAGGAATATGGAGGACTCGACTTTATCGGTAAACCTGCACTACGAGCAGCGGCAATTGGGTCAAGAAGCTGCTAAGGTTGACACGATGCAGCAGTATTCTACAGAGATACAAAGGTTTCATGTTGTGATAGGCGTATCACTCTGCATAGCCGAATATGAGTGGTCGCCCCTTGTATCACGCGGAGGCGCACGTCGATTGGAGCCAGGCCCTTGCACAAATCCGGTGAAGATGCGTGGCGCCTATGCCCCCAGGGTCGAACAACATCAGCCTGGCGCCTTCAACTCCTTAACGTTGTACTCTGCAGACATTATAAGAACCCGACAATATCTTTGATGCGAGCCTCTGCGCCATACCTTTTGCTACTGCGTTCGTATCTGCAGCAAGGTGACATCTCCTGGGCTGGTTTGCGCATGTTTTGCGATCTTTCAGCCTGCTACACTGTCGGTAGTCTTGAAGACGCTTATCTGGCTTGAGTGGTATGTGTGATTCGGTTCTCTCTAGGGTTCTTATTGTGTTTCTTCGACAATCTCAGCTTCGGAAGCTCGTATGAATATTACAGCTAGTAACTTGCTTACGTCGCATAGAACACCAACCAGCATCAAGTCGCACACGTAACACACAGAAAGCATAGCCGGGTATTGAATTTGATGTACTGAATCGATGTCGCTTCTCACGGAGCCCCGAGTCGGACGCTGGATAGATGAGAATAATGATCACAGTATGTCACCAGTGAAGCCTCGCTTTGAATCTAGTCCTAACATGTTGCACAGGGCTCCAATGGTTGGAAACAGACTACGTAGCCCAATGGCTGAAAGTTCCTGTTGCCTTCTGTCTTACGCTCAGCACACCTTACATCATTCGGATAGCAATCAGTAGCTGCGCAGGCCTCATGAAGATCTTGTCCAGACGGAACAACCATGCCGCAGCCCAAGATGAAGAGACACAGCGTCCGAACGCTACAGGACTACCGAAAGATGCAAAGACAGGACGGCAGATGGCGCGTAGTATATATCAAATCTTTCGCCAACAGGAGTCAAGACTAGAGCTCCGACACCAATTCTTCTATTTCTTTGTTCTTGGCACTTTGTGCTTTGTCTTCCTCTCTCAACTCATTGTAAGTTCTATCCTGGCAGACAAGGTAGCGACGGGCCCGGTGGGTCTGCTTAAAAACGACAAAAACGACGATTGTGGTCTCTGGGAATATGACAACATGAAGTGGGGCGAAGATAACGCTGCTATGGCGGATAGCTTGATGGCGTCAAGGGAAATCAGAGCAGCGACTTACGCTCAAGAGTGCTATAGATGGGGCAAAGTGAACGGAACAGAAGAGCAGAATGGAAAAGAGAAAGAGGGAAAAGAAAAGGAGGAAGAAGACAAGAGGAGCAAAGTGAAGAGGGGCAAGGCTATGAAGTGCGACTTCTTTTACACTCCTGATCTGGAGTTTTACAGGGCAAGAGCACCGTGCCCATTTAGCAAAAGTGCTGTCTGTCACACTGGCGGGATACACAAACTGCCAGCAGTCACGTTCGACACCAAAAATCTGGACTCGAGCTTGCTGGGTATCAACTCCAACCCAACATACAAGTTCCGACGAACGTCAACATGCGTCCCGCTGAGTGCTGAATCTCCTTATGTAAAGCACTTCACCAATAGCCCTACCGATCACGGATTTGTGTATTTCTATGGAGGGTTCAATGATGTCCGTAACGATTGTCCGAGCAATCCCAAGAAGATAAGAAACTGGACAATGCGTCTAGTTGGCCATCCTTTTGACTGGCTAGCGCCAGTGTATCGTTTGAAGTAAGTCTCTCAATGTTACAGCCAGAACACTTTCTAATCACTTCGGTGCTCTCACAGCACATGGGCCACATCACGAGCTGAGCCTAGATGTGACTATTGGCAGCCTATTGACGAATTGAAGTCAGCCCCCGGACTGAATACAGAGACAAGAAACAAGACGCTCACAATCATATTCGTCACAGCTCTACACATTGTGTATGCCAACAATAGTGTCGATCCCATTTTCCCAGCTACGGCCAAATACCGATTTCCGGACGATACTGTGGACTACTACATAAATGACAGTCCAAAATCACGCGCGTTTACGTGCATAGATGAGACTCAGTTTTGCGACCCAACTGGTAAGATTTGCTGGCATGCATACGACACGATACCAAAAAAGGTTGCACATATCGCTAGGGACCCAGCGTATGGATTCATGGCCAACGCGCTCAGGAAGTCCAACACTTACGACACCATCAAATTGCGATTGGGTAGCAGTCTCCTAGCCCAGCAACGTGTTGGTGACGCAAGATCGCAAGCTCTGGATAACGATCACTGGGAAGTCGAAGCGGAACATATGTTCAGGGCATCTCTAGCACGAGCGCAATTCGATGCTTGGAGCCTAGCGAGCGGGGAAGACCATGACAAAAGTGCTTACAAAAATACCGTCGAGGATGAGTTTGCTAAAAGAATGTGCGGTCTATTCAAATTCCGTACCTCTGGACACGTCAACGTACTAGTATGGAAATTCTTCCTGTTGTGCTGCGTGTTGCCGGCCACATTCCTTTTGAGTGTTCAATGGAAAACCTACCTTCAAATATGGTATGATACCACGCAATTGGTGGAGAGACTTTCTCGCAAGAGAGGAAAGAGCCGGGATGATGATTCTGCTGCGGCTCCTATGCTCGCAAACCCGGAAGTCAATGATGACCCTTTTGTGGTGGGTTCCGCACCGTCGACGCGTCGAGGTTCGGAGACACCGACTGCCTCTCACCCTCCAATAACACTGCGAAACCCCTCGCCGAATGAGGAACCATCTATAGAAGATCATCCAACGGCTTCCAATGTCGCAGACGAGCAACTATCCCAACCACCGGCACCGACTGGTGACTCGACAACAACACCACCTGGCACCAACTTGCCTACTCGTAGGGAGACATCATCTACCCACCCACCAACACCGCCTACCCGCACAGTAGCAGTTCCTGCTAACACAGAGACACCACTTATCGCCAGTTCGGCCCGTGATATAATAGACTATGGAACATCCAGTGCCAATCAGAGTGTACATAGTTGTGGGGACGCTGCAAACGCCGATCAATCGCCTTCTCCAGTCGCTGCTATGGAACAACCAGCTGTCAATGATGGAGCGCACAGTCAGCTGAATGATGAAGGGGAGGATGAATGGTCACCACTACTCTTCCATCTCCCGTTTCTCGCTCTCGGGTATATTGCCAAAATCCTTTGGGGAAGAATGAGGACTCTGGTCAAAGACGCTTTTGTCGCTGCTTGGAATGCCGTCAAGAGTGTCTGGGGAAGAAGATGGACTTCGACCAACGACGCTCCCGCTTAGCTGCTCTATCAATAGGAAGTATATAGGCTTATGAACTTGTGGTATCTTTGGCAGTCTTCCGGCCGTCCTTTCCGTTTGGTTAGTAGCGAGGGTACTAAGGTCTTTCATTTTACAATGCCCGTTAAACTTCATCCGCGATCATCTCGAGACCTAACGTGTTCTCAAGCTGAATATACCACGGTGGTGATTGGGAGCGATCTGAAATACCCCATGGAAGGGATGTACAAATCCGTGGGGGCAACGATTGTGCAGCTTACTACAATTACTCAATTTAGTAGAGTTTGCGAGCCCCGCGTTAGATGCGCCACAAATCCGGTGGAAGCACCTCCCTAGTCTAGGATATATGATTACATTCTGACCCTTGACGGCAAGGCCTTCGAGGCTGATATGGCGTTGTGTCAGGCCGCCTGCTGCGCCCTTCTCAAGGGTTACCACTTCGGGCTTAGCGTTTCCCGTTTCGGAAAGCCAAGATCTCCGCACGCGTGGCTACGGAGTAGGGCCTTATAGAGAAGTTCCTCTTGAATAAGGCAAAGTTGACCCATAAGTGATACTGCGTGCAATTCGTGCTGCGCAATCTACGATTCGACCATTGCAGACCTGCGCTCTAAAAGATGACTGCCATGACCACGACCTTAGTCGAAGACGATCGGAGTGTCGCCAGTAAGTACTCCAAGCATTGTATATTCATACGAGAGTACTAACCATCCCGATACAGACATCGATGCCTCCTCACTAGTGCATGTTGAACCCACCGCAGAGAATGCGGACCTCTACACCATGGATCTCCCAGAGTACACTCAACAGGTCGCGGGCGGAGAAATCTCGGTAGATGCGGAGTCGACGCAAAACGAAAAGCCACGCAGTCAAGACCAGTCGCC